TTCCTCAGACTGGAGTAAATAAACATGTTCCCCACCAGCATCCCAGCCCAACACTGTCCTCTCCACCTTGTCCTCCAACCCAAGGTAGAGCAGTCTAGAATCTCTTTGCAGGGGTTGCGCCTCCACCTTGGGGGATTATGCATTACCAAGGGGTGGAGGGTTTGCACTGAAATGGGCTTTCCCATTGTTTTCACTGGTTTGGAGCAAAGGACTGAGGCAATTAGAATCCTGCCTCAGACCCTGTGACCTAGAGTATAACACCCCTCCCCCACACTCACACACCTGAGAGAATTGCCACAGACTGTCTTAGGCCCAGGGAACCCCAAGTCTTGGGGGGAAGAGGGAGATAAAGCAGAAGGACTTGATTTGACATCCAGGCTCTGGTACTTAAACAGCAGGGTGACCTCTGTGCTCTCCATCTCTGTGTCCTTATCTGCCATGCTCATAGTTATAGCACCTAATTCCAACTTTTGTGAAATTTCACGATGTATGCGGAGCACCCGCACGATGTATGCGGAGCACCCGAATCAACTCTAAATAGGAAGAGATGAATAAGAATAGTCTTTCTAGAGACAAGGATGCTCTGTGGTTGCTCACATAGCCCATCTTGGAAAGGGTTCATAGGCTTCCTGGAACCACACCCTGATAGTCAATGCAGCCTTTGGAGATCCGATGCCTCCCGTCTCACTGTCCCAGCACCTGGGAGTGGGTCATTCCTGTCATTTTTGAGGAATGGCGGTGATGCTTGCAAGTCAAGGGGATGGGAGATAGCAACCAGGTTTTTAACACAAACAGTGGAGATGAATGCGGATGTGCTCTCTGGCTGGCACGTGGCAGGGGCTTTAGCAGAGCCACTGGTTCTGACCTCCCTTGCCACCAGTGGGCCTGACTCTGAGCAAGACCCCAGGATTTACTTAACCAGATCACTCGAGGCTCCATTTAGCTAGAGGTGGAGGGGAAAAATAACTCACAAAAGGAGTGTTGGATGCCTCCATCCCTGATGGAGTACTGGTGCTCACCTCTGCTCACCTGTCAGGAGGATTAAATCTGATATTGTTTGTGGATTCACTTTGCAAATCCCTCCATATATCTCAGGGGCTGTCATTCTTGTGATGGGGAGGCAGGACACTAACCCCCTTCTGTATGCATTACCCAGAATATAGACATCCTAGAAAAATGAGAAGGGCTCTCTTTCTCTTGCAATACCATAAAGGCCTTAATTTCTGTACCTTCAGGCCCCTCTTCTATTTATCTGGAGATGGACCATACCTTAGATTAAACCTTGTCCACATTCAACATCAGGGTCTACATGGCCAGAGGGTTTTTCTAGTGATGCACGGGGATCCTTGCCCTGGGGACCTGAGACTCTGGTGTCCTGAGTTTCCTGCCACCTAATTTCCATTCACAATTGAAGGTCCAGTCAGTCCCGCCTCTGCTCCCACACCATCCTCATGTTCTAGGATTGTGAATCTTCTCTCTGTGGAAAAGAGGTATGCCTCTTGTCTTTTCAAAAGTTCCCTCTGAGCTTTTTTTTTAAAGGAATCATTTTGTAAAATTATATTTATAGTGGATCCTGAATAAGAGGCAAGGAGAGTAGGAAGATGAACACAGGCCTGAGATTTTTTTGAATGGACACAGAGTTTTAGTGCAACCCTCAATTTTGGTGAGCACCAAGACCCAGAATCCACAGGTGCTTTGAGAGAAGTTAAGTGTGCTGGGCATTCAGATATTTGGGTTCCAGGAGCTACAACACAGGGCCTCTGCCTGCAGTGTATGCTGCTCTAAGCCTGTGCTTGCCACTGTCCTACCCAGGGAAATGAAAAGTACATTACCACACAATCTACCGTCTCCACACGCCCTTCCCAAGGTAACTTCAGAAACGCTGCTGCCCAGCCTGAGTTGAGTCTGCCTAGCCTGGGATGGCCTGCTCAACGGCCCCGTAATAGCACAATCTACAGATCTGGCTCAGCATCCAGGCCTGCACCTGCATTAAGGAATCCAGGCTTCTAACAAATCTATTCGCTTTTACAATACGTCTAAAAAAAAAATAAGGCTGCAAAACAAAACAAAACGAAGCACAAACTATTATTTTACTGTGGCTTTTGGTTAGGGAGGGGAGGCTGGGGTAGAGGGAGGGGGTAATTTGCAGCCACCCTCACAAGTCCTTTTGAAGTTCTCCAAATAAGGAGAAGTAACTCGAAGTCTTTATTTTTTTTTCTAAAGCCCCATTTACATTATGATTAAATACCTTCCTCAGATAAGCATAAAGAAAGTCGTTAATCTATATAGCTCTCCAAAGAATCAATACATTCTAAACTTTTGTAGGATTTGTTACACCCTATTTTGTTACAGTAGTCCAGCTCCTCTCTGTCTAGGCACATGGCTCCCTTTCCCTCCCTCCTCCAAGAATGAAAATAAAGTAAAGGTCTTTCACGGTAAACAAAACCAGCTGATTCTTCACAGAGAACCCATGAATAGCTGGAGAAGAAAAAAAAAACTTACAATAAATGGTGCATTTTTTTCTCTGCTGGGTATAGTATTCAAGGATCAGGGCAGTATTCAAACAGAGGTCCATTTTTTTTTCCCCTCACAAGAGAGTTTAGAAAAGAAGCGTGGGGTCCATTCAGCGCTTTCTCCCCTTCACAATCGCAGGGTTCTATGAAACCTATCTTCCATGCCTTGTCGGAGTGTTTCTGGGGACCAATTAGTGCTTTGTTGCACGGCTTCTTTGCCGAATCTTTGAGCAGCAAGAAAAAGCGCTCTCGAGTTTCCCCTTATTTTGACCATTTCAGTCATTACTCAGTGTAATAATTAATATGACAACTGGACGCTCGAGTTTGTATAGAAACACCTCAGCTACAGGAGCGGGCGTGCAGTGGGTGGTAACGAGCCGCACATCAGTCGGAGAAGCCACACACACAAAAAAAGGACTGAATGGCCGGGGAGAAAGAGAAGGAATAAAGATAAAATAGTTGGCACAACGCAGAGGAACATAAAACAGACTCGAATGAAGGGAGGGAGGGGGGGAGGGGGACAATTAGAAGGGGAGGGGAAAAACACCCAACAGAGGTTAACTTATTTTGAAACTGTTTTCTGAATAGAACCCTGGGCGTGAGTGGCCGGCTTTCAGCCCAGCGCGGTCCCCCCCAAACCCCAACTTTCTGAACTGTCTTGGAACGTGGCGTGGGGCGAGGGGGAGAGGCAGGGAAGGCAACCTTTAGGTTCTTCCCAGGGTCCTTCTGATGGTGCACGCAGCCTACCACCCAGCCCGTTTTTTTTGACATTTTTGCAAAAATCTATATTCCCCTTTGCTTCAACTTCGGACTTGGCCATAGAGAAGATCGACACAAATGCAGGCGACAGAGATGAGTGCTGCTCCACCTCCCTGGGAGGGAATTTGGGGGAGAGGGCATTTCTGATGCACCCCAACAATTCTGCAGCAGTGCCTGGAGGAACAGCGTTTGCGGGGCTCCAGGCGAAAGAGTCTCTCGCTGGCAGCACGCAGCCATTCTGGGCCCTGCGCCCCAGCCCCCGCGCGGTGTCCACGCCAGCCAGTCCCCCCCAATCCTCCGCAAGTGCGCCCCGGGGTGGCGACGGGCTCCGTGGCGGCATAATAAATAATTAGAGGGTATAAGCGCGTTAGCCACAGCTCATGCTAATGAGCCAGAGGAGGGCTCACGTTAATGCGAAGTGACAGTTTGCATATAGGAGGGAAGGAGAAAAAAGTCCTGCTCTTTTCCCCCAACTTGATAGCTCCTTCTCAAATTCGTTTGTCCCCAATTCCCTTCCCCATTCCTCCGGTTTCCCTCTCTTCATGTCCCTCCACCTCCCACCACACACACCACACACACACACTCCACACACACCTGTTTGACCCTTTCTCAGTCTCTCTAGCCCCTTGCCCCGCCGCGTTGTGACGTCACAAAGTCCCCTGGTGCCTGCAAGTGACTGCGGGAAAGTTCACTCCCAGCGCGTCCAGGCCGGTCTCAGCGCCCAGCGGTCCGTGTGCGTTTCTGGGCACAGCGTGGGACGCACCCAGGCTCCTATTCTCCCCAAATAACTGTGAAACTCAGGGTCCGAGGCCTCTGAGCTGCCCTTGTGCTCCCTGGGGTGCTCTCGGTGCTCAAGCAGGCAAGGGGAGCTCCCCACGGGGGCGGTGGACGCAGCCCTGAGCTCCCAGACGCTCCCGCCGCCGCCCGAAAGCAGGGTTAGTTTGCCCAAGTGACTGAGGTCAGTCGTGTGTCCCCATTGTGTGGCCACGTGTCCTGTGTCCATCATCGCCTCCCCGAAGTCTGAGCTCAGCCCGACTCCTGGCGGCGCGGCGCGGGAATGCTCTGGCCTAGAAATGAGCCCGGGGCTGCGAGCGAGCTCTCCACCTCCTGGCAGAGCTGGACCGGCCCGCAGGCCAAGGGGAAAGTTTGCTGGAACCAAGTGAGGAAGAAGCAGCCTGCCATAGCTTGGTGTGGACCTGCCTGGGAAACTGTGGCCCCAGGGGATCACATTAACACACGAACTCTTCTTCCCATCCCCACTCTCTTCCCTAAGCACCACTGTCAGGTTGTTTTTTGTTTGTTTGTTTTTTGTTTTGTTTTGTTGTTTGGTTTTTTTTTTGAGAAGCAGGGGGACAAAGAGAAGGTGAGAAGATGATTGCTAACACATGGAATTGACATGGAATCTTAAAGAAACAGCAACAAAACCAAAATGAAATGAGTTAATATTTATAAAATGCAGAGCACAGCGCCTGACACACAGGAAACATTGTGTATGGGTTTTTCAAGAAACACAAGCGCACTGAATACATGAAAGGAGATATGTGCTGTCCATCTAAGACAGCGATTTTCAATCGGCGTGCTGGTTGAAAGAATTTTTAAAATATGCAATACCTGATCATTTAGTCAGGGGCACTAACTTCTTTTCCCTTAGATTGTCAATAACCTTCCAGTGTGAATGAATAAAAAAAAGTATGCTTATTTGTTATCAGATTGGCAAAAAAATATATATATTTTGGGTGTGCCGCAGAATTTGAGTAATTAGTTTATGTGTATCATGGGATGAGAAATGTTGCAAATCGCTGACCTAAGCTGTTAGAAAATACCCCTTAGATGTAAAATGATCAAGGTTGATATGCTCATGGATTCACCAAAAACAATTGAACATAATCTGAGATGAACAAGACAGTCATTGCCTTTGATAAGCTTACAGTTTAGTGGGCAGAAAGGAAGTGTAGAAGAAAAGAAGGTCCATTAGCACACAGTGGGGGCAAGATGGAGAGCCCTCCTTCCTCATGCTCCCTCAGTCCTTGGACTTTCACCCTCTACTACCCACCAGGTTACCCCCAAATAAATAATCTATGTTAAAACAGGTGGAACTGTTATACAAACACATCCTAAAATCATCCAGCCCCTCTTCCCCAACCAGATGGTCATCCCTAAGCTTCTCT